AGCAGTGTGATTTGAGCTCAAAAGATCAAAATAAATACAAGACAAAAATACATCCATCCATTCACTCTATGGCCTTATCTCTCATAGTGCCAACCATAGATATGGGGATGAGAACATAGTAGATTTCAAATCAGCAATTTGAGCAAAGAGAATGAAGGGGTTTTGGACTTCTACAATGTAGTGCTCCATAAAAAAGACCATAGGTTAACAATTGAACTAATGTTAGCAAAAAAATTTAAAGGGGAAGAGATTATGATTTTACCTTCCAACAATATAAATAGCGCAGTACCACTGAGAACAACTAGAAAAGTTGGGTAGATTATTTTAAAATTTGTTTACAAGCACTTAAAGCATGCATTAAGTTGAACTTGACATTCACCTGTTTATCCCTTTACAATATCTGCCAATTTATAAGTGGAAATTCTAGACCCTAAGACACTGAACAGAACTTTTGGAAGAGAAAGCAAAAATTAGCTTTTTGGGAAGGTCAGCTAGGAGGGATCATAAAAAACGATATAGGTTTTCAGTTCAGGCAAACAAAGGGCTATGCCATAGGAATTTCTCTAAACTTAGAAATAGACTAGATTCACCAAGAATGAAACCAAGATTCAAATCAGCTCAATCCCAGACTAGATTAAGATTATCTTCCACTAGCCAAATTGCCTGCCAGAAACAAAACACATCTTGTCTAGACAAAGGTGATATCATTCAGGGCTTAAATTATCTCTATAATTATTTTTAACTCATAATGTCCAGCATTTACTCAAAAATTACCTGGCATAAAAAAAATAAATAAAAGTAGTGTGTGCCTCCCGGACCCAGGCCATGCAGGCAGAATGTGGCAAAGCCAAACCAGCTGGTGCCAAACCCATGCTCCTAACCACTGCAGACCTTGACCTGCCACTCAGAAGTAGCATTTCCAGAGGCCAGAGAAATGCTGCATTTGCAATGTGCACCTGATGGTGTCTTCAGTGAATCTCCAAATGCAAGGATGAAAGAGATTGCGTGCGCGCACACACACACATATATATATACACATCCCAGAAGTAAAAAGACTCACCCAGGGACTATCTAGGTCAGGGTAAACAGTTTGGGTGAAGGACCAGACAGTAAATATTTTAGGCTTTGCAGTCACTATGGCAATTACTCAACTCTGCTGTTTGTTGCAAAACAGTCACAGACAATACATGAAAAAATGGTGCAGTTGTGCTCTGGTAACATTTACAAAAACAGGTACCAAAGAGAATTTGTCCCACAGGCCATAGTTTGCTGACTCTGCCTTAGCCCATGGGAGTTCTGGGAAATAGTTGAGTCAATGAGGAACATGATCAGATGAGTGTTCAGAATATCCTATGCTGACTGCTAGACGATGGACTCAGAACGATCTAGATGTTTTATGAACTAAACACTGGTATTATCACGTTTCTCTATTATTGCATTTGTTATAAACAAATGGCAGTGGCTGTGCTCCAATAAAACTGTTTACACACCCAGGCAGAGGTGTGAATCTGGCCCATAGGCCATAATTTCCTGAACCCTACTGCTTTAGGACCTCAGGCCAGAAATTCTAATAAATCAGTAATCATCTAAAATCAGCTACTACAGTTTTTCAAACGCCTGCTACAGACACTGAAGACCCATTTATAGCATACTGAAACCCTCTGATTATACCAATATGGGTATGAGAGAAGTGATTTCTTCCCCCCCTATTAACTGGATTCATTCAAACCAGACACAAAGCCCAGCCATACAGGATCAACTCTTCACTCCTTCAGAGCAGACGTCTAGGCAGTGCAATGCACATGGGCTGCTTTGTGGCAGGAACAGAGACTAGAAACCAATGGCCCGTGCATCCTCATCACTGCCCTGTGAGCCAAGCTAACCCACTGAACACCCTGCAGCCTCCGCATCATCATCTGACATCAACTGCAGAGCTGACTGCCTGTCAGTGTTACTGACACTGACAGATTTCAGGGGAAGCACATGGCACTGGAATGGCTCTCCAACTTTCCAGGACTGGCCCTGGACTATAGCAACCCCTGGTATAATCCTGTTGCTCCAAGTTGTTGGTGTCTAGAACTGAGAACCAGGGGAGAAGGCAAGGCTGTCAAATTTGAAATGACAAAAAACAGTTATCGTTTGAGAATATCCTGAAGAAGATGGTGCCAGTGCTTGCTGTTTCTACTCCTAGTGCAGTGGTCCTCTAAGGTGGCAGGGAGGAGGGAAATGACTCCCCCACATCTGGAGACATCTTTGATTATTACAGCTAGGGAAATGCTACCAGGATCTAGTGGGTAGAGACCCCAGAGATGCTGCTAAAATCCTACTGTGCATGAAAAGCTCCCACAGCAAGGACTGAATTTGGCCCACCCCAAAATATCAACAGTACCAGGTAAGAAACCCTGGCTTAGTGGGATCTGACCACATGAAGATCCCAAATACCTGAAGCAAATACCCACAGTCCAATTACGTTCCAGAAACTCAGCTCCAAAGACCACTTTGATTGACGTGTTAAGTTGATTAAATAAAAGAGAAAAGTAGCAGTGTGAGTCAGACAGGCTGGTGTGACCTGTTTGACTGTTTCCCTGTTGTTATTGAGAAGAACATTATTTTGCTAGGGTTCATCTGTAAAAGGAGCAAGTTGGAATGAATAATTTCTATAGTTTCTTTGAGATGCAAATTCCTATGTTTACTACTAACATACAAGGTGGTTGAAATTCTAACACTGTTTGGGTTTTGGTAACTTTTTAAAAAGAATATTCCTGCAAGGCTGAAAAGCTAAGAACAGATCACTGTCCTTTAGAATTTGGAGGAAGCCTTTCCTGAGATTTTTAGCAGTACACAATAAAGACAGCCGCAACAACTAGAGAAACTCAAAGTCCACAAATCTGCCATCCATGTGGCTTCTTCCTGCTCATGGGAAAGGTCTGAGAGACTGAGATCAACAAGAGAAGAAAACTACTCAGTGATTCACCTTTCCTGCCAAAGCTATAATATGAAATACATAAAACCAGAACTTGAAAACAGCATCTGTGTTACCTGTCACATCATACACATTGGTAACATCAATGGTGACAATTGGCTGTATTTTTTTTCTGATAGTTTACATGTTACTCTGGAAATGTTACAGAAGATGTTAGTTAATGAGTAACTTTAAAATGCACCCTCCGGGCCAGGCATGGTGGCTCACACCTGTAATCCTAGCACTTTGGAAGGCCGAGGAGAGAGGATCACTTGAGGACAGGAGTTTCGAGAGCAGCCTGAGCGACAAAGCAAGACTCCATCTCTACAAAAAGATAGAAAAATTAGCGGGCCTGGTGGCACACACCTGTAGTCCCAGCTACTTGGGAGGCTGAGGCAGGAGGATGGCTGGAGTACAGGAGTTTGAGGTTGCTGTGAGCTATGATGACACCACTGCACTCTAGCCTGGGCAACAAAGTGAGACCCTATCTCCAAACTCAAAACAAAACGAAACAAACCACCCTCTGAAAAAACTACCTAGTTGTTTTTCAGTGAGGGCTCTCAAAATGAAATCTCATTTTTTTAAATCAGATCAAAAAAGGTTGCATTTTATTTAGACATATTCAAACTTTGAAACTTCGACTAGCTTAAAAGCAGATGTGTGTGATTGTGCAAATACTAAGCACTGAAAAAGAATTTCCACATTGTTCTTTAGAAGTAACCATCTTCTTCTTCTCCTTAATATATACACATACACATAATAAATTTATTTATTTTATATATAGAATTTTGAAAACCAAGTTTTTGGGATCCTTTCAGAATGGAAGGATATGTGTGTAACAGAATATGATTTCTTGCATTTGAATTCAACCCATGCTGAACTGAACCTGCTGCCATACATTTTTAGGAATCATCATTTGAATTTTATATACTTCAGAGCACATTCCTTGATTGAACACCAACCTTTCTCTACCTCACCAACCTTTTTCAACCCCATTCTTGTATCTCATTTATATTATTTGTCCCAAACACTGAGAGCCCTGAAGCCTCAATTCAATGACTAGATTTGCCACTGACCAATAACAAGTCATCTTCCACAGACCAAGTCTGCTATGAATACTCAGTGGCCACAGCAAAGCTGAGATGTAGATTCTCCAAAACACGGTATGATGCCATTTGCATGTTTCATTTGCAATTTTGTATTTGTGTATATACATTGTGTGTGTATATAAAACATCAAAGATATACACTGAGATGTTAATTACGGTTACTGCCTGTAGTAGTAGACTTATGTGTGATTTCATTTTGCTTGTCTACGTCTTCCAACTTTTCTATATTAAGCATAACTTTTGCTAAAAAAAAAAAAAAAAAGAGAAAAATACGTTATATTCCATATGTGTATGTTTTTACTCTCTATAACTTCAGAAAGAATTTAAGGCACCTAAGAAAAAAAGCAACAAGTACAAAGATTTTTTTCCAAACTGAGGGCAATTAAAGATAACAGCAAAAAACAAGAGCAGTAAAACCTGAAGAAGCCAAAGGTTACAGCTCTTAGCCTGCACGTAGGCACCGACGTCCTGTACATTGGCAGAAGGGGGGCACACGTTTGGCTCTAAATTTATTGGCTTCCACAGAACATTCCTCCCCACTCTCTAAGGAGTCTCACCTCACCCCCACCAGTCTTAATTAAGATTTGTTTAGAGAAGGACAACAAGAATGTTTGACATTCCCTGAACACACTCCCATATGAGACCACACTGTCCCAGAAACGTGTTGAGGGAGGAGGAGCTACAGCAAATAGAGCCAGGACCACTGCTCCTAGGGGAAAGTGTCCACGTGTACAAGAACTCGGAATCCCCAAACAAGTGTTGCTTTAACTTTCTGAAAGTGCCCCTCTGTGTGTAATTCGCCACCCACGCAGCAGCCAGTGGTGAGGGATGGTCAATCCATGACAAAACCAAGTTCTGGGAGCCTCTGGGATCCTTTCGAGGCCCCGGCACGCTTCGATGCGGAGGCCCCCCCGGCAGCACCGCGCTTACCGTAAGCTGTCATGACGCCGGCGTATGGTCCGTCCACCACGTTCCTGTTTTCTTCCGCCAGAGCCTTGATGTACCTTTTGCTGAGGTCCAGGATCTGCTCGCGCAGCATGGAGCTGCTTTCAGGCTGAGTTCGCTGCTGGATGGTAAAATGCAGGAGCATCATACCCCAAATGAAGCCGAAAGTCACCAGGAAAAAGCCCAGCTTCTGAGAGGACAACTTCCATGGAGTAAACAGAGCCATCGCTCTCCGGCAACTTCACCTGCCCCGGGCTCCTATCGCGTAGAAGGTAGACACGACCTCATGGTGCAGGCTGCGTGCGCGCGTCCGCGGGCCTCACTCCGGCTCCTGTGTCAGCCAGTTTCCTCTCCTCACTTCCATCCTGCTGTGAAGAAGGGGGAGAGTTAGCAGAAGGGTCACGGCAAACCACAGCACAATAAACCAGAAGCCATGTTTTCACTTGCAGAGCTCTAAATAAAATGTCAACTCTTTTTAATTTGCTGGTTTGACATCTTAGGATTCCGGGATCTGTAAGCCCAGGGGAAATCTGGCTCAGTGACAAGAAGCTGAGCAAATACGGAGAAGGAAGTGTGTACCTGTGTGTACAGGTGTAGTGGGGCTGTCCAGTCCCGACTGAGGTCAAAACAGGAAGCTTGTTTTGCAAGGTGGGGAGGAGACAGAAAGATATTTCGCTGAATGTCAGCAAAAACCCAAGCGGAAGGTGGAGTCCTATCACCATCAGGCACTTTTGTTCGTCTGTAACTTGAGCTTACAAAGTCATTATGTGCTTCTGGCAAGGATTAGGGCATGCAGCTGGCAAGGTGAGCAAGAAAGTGGATGCCCCCTCAGGGGTAATTAGACAAGGAAGGGGGAGAGAGCCCCTGTCTTATTTAAGCATGGCCAGCTTTCATCATCAGTGTTAGGGACAAGATGACTCTCTTAGGGCCACCAGGTAGCGTCTCCCTGTGCACCAGCACAGAGAGGATATGCTGGAGGTACCGCCAGTGGTCTCGCCGTTCCAGCTATGGAAACGAAAGCTCCACCTCACTGCTCAGCCGCATGCTGCAGCTCAGAAACCGTGGGGCACCCAGCAGGCAGCTTCTCTGTGGTTCTCACTTTCACTCCTGCCATCAGGCAAGACGAGACTGCAAAAGGCAGGGTAGTTTCAATTCTAATGCGGCCAGATCCTATCTGATACCAGCACAGACCAGGCCACCCTTCCCAATCAGGGCTTCCCAACAACCGGGACCTGAGCATGGATTGAAAATGGTTACCAGTATGCCCAGATTTCGACCCCTTCAGCCAGGGTGCTGGGCCCAGCGACCAGCCAGGCTTACACACAGCACCGTTTCTAAGTGCCACTCAAGGGAGAGGCTGAGCAACGACCCCTTAAAAGGGACTAACGCAAGACGTATTTCAGGGTGTACATAAGTTTCAGTTCAAAGGATTCTTCTCTGCAAGAAGCCCAAGAGGAAATGGTAGCAGGACCTTGGAGCAATTAGCTTTCAGAGTGTGCAGTAGCTCAGATCTCTGTTGGTCTGCCTCACTGTTTCCCCTTGCCTATCAATGGAGCAATTAGTAGTTGTTTGTACAACTGATAATAAGAGTAAATGATAAATAAATTATGGCTATGTGTGAGGCATTGCGATAAATCCTTTTTTTTTTTTTTAATACCTTAGCTCCCTAAATCCTTATAAAAGCCCTGTATGGTAAGAAGTATTAACATGATCATCTTTGTCTTATAAGAAACAAATAAGAGAAAATAAAGGCACAGGAAGATTAACTTGGCAAAGGCTAGCCAGCCGTGTAGCAGAGGAGGGATCATCAGTAAACCACGCCCCACGTCCCCTGGCCATCCCCGCTCCCCCAAGGGCCTGTTTTTATATGGTCAAGAATGGTTTGCATATGCTTATGCAAAGCATGAAGAGCAACAAGGAAAAATATGTAACAGACATACCACGTAGCCCAAAAAGCCTAAGACATTTACTATCTGGCCCGTAACAGTAAAGGTTTGCCGACCTCTGAATACCAGGCCAGCGGTTCTCAAAGTGTGGTAAAGTCAGCGACAGCAGCATCGCCAGTGAGAAATGCAAATTCTCAGGTCCCATCCCATACCTACGGAAGCAGCAACTCTAGAGCATGAGGCCCACAGTCTGCTTTAACAAGCCCTCCAGATGACTGTGTGCATGGTTAAGTTTTAGAGCCTCTGATCCAGACTGATATACATTCCGTCACTACACCGCACCACCACCGTGCCAACATGATGAGGCTCAAACTCCATCGCACACTACTTTATAAATCCCTCTGCCCCGTCACACCCTACGCACCTGTTGGTCTGCTCATCATCACAAACCCCACACGTCCTTCTTCAGGCATCTCCTTCCACTTGGCCGTCTCTCTTTTCTGTATCAGGCTGACAATCCAAACCCAGACTGCTTCCCCAGCCCCAGTCCCACCTGCTTCAGATCACTGTCCCCAGGGCTCCAGCCCGCAATGCTCCCGTCCCAGTCTGAAGTCTGACAATGGAACACTATTAGGCCATGAAAAAGAAACCCTGCCTTTCTCAGCAACATGGATGATCCTGGAGGACATTATGGTAAATGAAATGAGCCAGGCACAGAAAGACACACACTGCATGATCCCACTTATATACAGGAGCTAAAAAGTTAATCTCATGGAAGTAGAGAGTAGAATAGTGGTTATCAGGGGAGAGGGAAGGAAGGGAGGAGGGTAGGGAGAACTTGGTCAACGGGTACAAAGCTGCAGTTAGATAAAAGGAATAAATGCTAGCGTTCTGTTGCATCATAGCACGACTAGAGTTAGTATATTTCAAAATAGCTAGAAGAAAGGATTTTGAATGTTTTCACCACAAAGAAATCAGAATTGTTTAAGGTGATAGATATGCTAATTACCCTAAATAGATCATTACACAACATATGCATGTATCAAAACATTTTGTATTACATAAATATATGATCATTCTATCATAAATTTAAGAAAAATTTTTTAAAGGGGGGAACAATAAAGGAGTATCATGGGTTTAAAAGAACAAAAATACTCATCTGTCTACCTTAGATTGTTCACCACTTTCTATATAGGACCCCATTACATCCTTTCAGGGACACTCCCTGCCACCGACACACACACAAGCCTTCTCAGAGAGATACACTCACCACAGGGGCACTATGGAGTATCTGCTGACCAGGAGAACCGGTCATCCAGGCACCACGGTCATCCAGGCACCACGGCACGTCACTCGGCCCTTCTGAACGCAGGCCAGCTGAACAGCACCTTCCGCAAGTCCATGCTGAGCACCTGCTGTCATCAGGTACAGGAACTGAACGGACGAGCAACATGGAGTCCCCACCCCTGAGGGCCATCCCACTAACTAGGTGCTGCCCCCAATTCCTCAGGAAGTGGCTGCACTTCCTTTTAGATAACCCAGACTCATTAGTACATCCACCCCCGGGCTGAAGGGACTTTCCCAGGGCAAGCAAATGAGGTGCTATACCAAGAAAGACAGTCTTCTGCTGACTTGCCTTGGCCACTTCAGAAGAAAACATCCATCGCTGGGGCAGGAATTACCTGTCCACTTTCAGACAGGAAGTCCCACTCCACTTCCTCAACCAACCCCCCGGAAGAGGCTGCTCAGAGGTGCAGAATTTAAGCAAAAGAAAGGCCTAGGACCAGGAACTGACCGAGGGCCTCATCAGAAAGTGGAAGGCTTTTCCACCTTTGCCTGGGGCAGGGTCAGAACCACCTAGACGGTACATTCCAGGGGCAAGAAGATGGCCGAGAACCCCAGACTGGGTGAAATCATTCCAGCTCAGAGATACGCAAATTTGGAGTAACATTTTTAGTTATAAGGGGTTCAAGTACAGTTCTGACTACTGAGGGCCTGGATTTTAAATGACTACAGAACTGTCAGGAATGTTCTTTCCCTCTAGTGGAATCTAGAGTTTGAAATAACAGAAACCGTATCAGCAGACACAAAGCACACGTAGAGAATGACATTAGAATTCATCTCTATGAGGCCTATTAAGACGACAGACTTTAAGACTTTTCAAAAGCATTATTCAGGAGCCACCCCCATCTCCCACAGTAATAGGAGGATAATGAGGAGGAAACAGGACACCCATCCTCACAGAGTCTCGGTGCCATAAAAGGACAATGATGATCATCAGTAATGGACAGGCAATTAATAGAGAAGCCCCAGACCACGGTGATCAAAAAGTTCTTGCTCAAGTGAATGATCTGTGTGCCTCCAGACGCCTTAACAGCTGGGTCCTCTAGCTAAGTGCACAAAAGGGACTATAAAGTGGATCTCAGAAGACCTTGTTGCCAACCAGAGTAATGACCACCCGGCCATGACTTCATCAATTCACCTCCAGAAAGAGTTTGTACCAAATATGGTTTCTATATTAACCACCCCGATATACACTCCCTCTATCCATCTACTTCCTAAAAGAGTAGCATTCACCCTCTTCCTTCCCACTCACTCAACACAAAATCTGGCTTCTACCTTTTCAAAAGTGGTCAAAGATCTTTGGCAAGGAAACATGCCAATTCTCCTCATTTACAAAAAACACAAAAGCATGCTCATCATTAGTAAAAACGCAAATCAACACCACAATGAGATACCAACTTCATTCCCATTAGGATGGCTATAATTTTAAAATACAAATAGGAACAAATGGTTGGTGAGGATGCGGAGAAGTTGGAACCCTCATATACCATTGGTGGGAATGTAAAATGGTACAGCCAGTGTGGAAAACAGGCTGGCAGTTCCCCAAATAGGTAAACACGGAATTACCATATGGCACAATTATGCTCCTAGGAATTCTCCCAAGAGAAGTGAAGCATGTGTCCAAACAAAAACTTGTACACAAAATGTTCACAGCAGCATTATTCATAAGAGACAAAAAGCAAAACCACCCAAATGTCTATCAACTGAGGAATGGATAAACAAAACTGGTATACATATGCAGTGAAATACTATTTGGCCATAAAAAGGAATGAAGAACTGTTATGCTACGGCATGGATGACCCTTGAGAACATTAGGCTAAGTGAAAAAGGCAGTCGCAAAAGACCACATACTGTGTAATTCCATTTATATGCAACGTCTAGAACAGGGAACTCTATAAAGGCAAAAAATACATTAGTAGTCAGTCACTTAGGGCTGGGGAGGTGGAGCGTGGGGGAATTGGGAGGGGGTAGCTAAGGAACTCAGGGTTTCTTTTAGAGGTAACAAAAATGTTTTAAAAATTGATTGTGGTGATGGGTGCATAATTCTTTGGATATATTAAAAGTCAGAGTTGTACACTTTGAAAGGGAGAATGGTAGGATAGGTGAATCGTATCTCAATAAAGCTGTTTTTTCCACCTCT